TTCACTGTCTAATTTAGTCGGTTATCACTCCTTTGAAAGAAAATAGCCGCTTTTATTCCACACATTTGTCCGATTGGGTAGAAAACACACTGGCTGCAATTAGAGTAGAAGAGACTGCAGGTAAAATGAGATAATCAGGTCCCTATGCAGGCAGAAATCAACCCAGATGATGAATCCAACAAAAGATGATCAAGAGAACCTGATCATCTAGGAGGAGGAACAAATAAAACACCGGTCTGATAATTCCAAAGGATTCTTGAATCGACCATTACCTGAAAATCATCCAGAAATACCACCAATACCTTGCACAAAACTACCAGTGGTTACCAGTCCTCTAACAGAAGCAGAAATCTTGAATGCGATTAAGCTACTGAAACCCATGAGGGCAGCACGACGAGGTGGAATTCCCCCTGAGGCACCAGAAACGGACCCACGGACTGCGGCAGATATGCTCACGCCACTATTGAAGAATGGGTTGGAAGGAAGGAAGGTGCCTACTGACTAGAAGAAGGGATACCTTGTCAAACTATCAAAGAAAGGAGGCTTAGGCCTCTGCAAGAACTGGCATGGAACAGTGTTCTTATCCACGTCATTTCAAGTAATAATTTGCATCATCATGGGGAGACGCGCTGCTTGCAGTACTCCGCCTAGAACCAGCTGGATGCGTGAAGGACAAACCATCTGTTGATCAAATTGCAACCCTTCTACATCGTCACCGAACGGAGCATAGAATGTCAATCAAAACTCTATCTCAGCTTCATGTACCTTGAAAAAGACTTTTACAGAGTTGACTGAGAAGTGCTTGGAAGCTACTTCAACAGAAAGAGGAGGGAGGGTGGCGCTAGCTGATCAGTAGATATGGTGGGGGTCACTAAGGTGAATCGCCCCATTCTGCAGGAACAGCAATACACAATTTGACGGCTCGAGATATTTCTGATTTTTATGAGGGCTTAGATCTTTATCTTGAAAAAGATAATAATGAACGCTTTGACAGATCATGCTTCTACCTTTAAATATATATACCATTGTTGAGATGCGACCATGTGGGCTCTGCACAGATTTATGGGGCATCTTATAAACTAACATTCTTTCCATCGTCAGATCTTTAAGTACCACTTCACAATGTCTTATCTCATTCATTTTCCAATAACGTCTCTACTCAATCCTCATTATTCTCCATTAAACCTAACATTTTATAGCTTCTTATGAATTTGATTCGACTTATTCTATTCCTATTCTCTGTAGGGTACGGTTGTGCACCAAATGCACAAAAAGGTATAAAATAAAAACAACCAGTATGAGGGTAAATGAATTAAAGCGAAAAGTGGACATCATGATAGTAAGAACTATATGGGTAGCATTATACATTGCAAATGAACGTTGTCAGCCTATAGGATTTTCCTTTATTAATGCATTTATTAGTGATACTTGCACTTACCCATTTCATTACACTTTATTGATTCACCTCAGCACTTTCACTTTTCTAAAAACAGCTTTCAATCCCTTGTAAACGTTGTACTTACCTCAATATTGGTTGGTTATCGTATGCCTACAACCACGGGATAAAAACGAAACGAAGTCGATTTTCCCGCTCAACCTGGAGGACAACTGTACAATTCAATAACTATACGGCCTTGTTCAGACAATGTGTGTATATATATATATATGTCAAATATTTAACTGTTGATGCAGAATTAACTTGTAGACAATCTACGATTTGATATTATATCATACTTGATCGTGCCTGTAAAAATGGCATGCATTTTCATGTAAATTTATATGTTTATATAATGATATCAAATCTTTAAATATTACCATTTATATTAGAACAAGACATATTAGCGAACAATATTGTTTTGAATTATATCTTCTTGAGGCTTTACTCTAATTTACATAGACTTACATATATAAAATATAAACCAATGACGGTGATTTAGTGTATCAAATAATAATAGTAATCATAATAATACAAATAATAATAATAGTAATAATAATGTGGTAAATGTTTTGAACGAAGTTAATAACGATGATTATAATAATAACAAAATATTGTTAATAAGGCTTATATAGGTGATAAGAATAACAAAGTTAGTATATGCATATATGTAGACAATTCAATAAATAAATAAATTAGGTCAAATCCAATGGAACGATAATCAGAGTTTAAATAAATATCATAATAATACCATGGAGTGTCAAAGTGGCTAGGTGAACTCCTCCAACCATTACACAAGTTGGTAGTAAATCATAGTGTTAAAGATGTTTTTGAATTTATTGCTAACGTGGATGATATTAATGTAAATGGAAAGCAAATGCTTTCCCTTGATGTAGCATCACTATTTACCAATGTACCACTTATGGAGACTGTGGAATTCATATGCCAACAGATACTAGAAAAACAGATCGACATCGGAATACCGGTTAGTAGTCTGAAAGAGTTGCTTTTAAGATGTACTATGAATGTACATTTCATATTTAACAACCTTTACTACAGGCAAATCGACGGTATTGCCATGGGTTCTCCGTTGGGGCCAATTTTAGCAGATTTCTTTCTTGCCAAGATTGAAAATGGTCCATTGAAAAAAGTAATAGAAAAAGCTGATTCTTATTTTCGTTATGTTGATGATACCTTTATTATTCTTGATGTGAAAGCTGACAAGAATGAAATGTTAAAAAAGTTTAACGATGCACATCCATCGCTTATCTTCACTTGTGAAGAAGAATATGATGGTGGACTACATTTTCTTGACGTCCAATTGAGCAGAAGAGAGGATGGTTCACTAAAGAGAGATGTCTATAGAAAACCTACATCTGTAGGACAATATACACATTTCCTCAGTTATGTACCAATCCGTTACAAAATCAATTTGGTCAGATGCCTGACGAATAGAGCAAGACGCATCTGTACAGATGACTCTCTAGAGAATGAGCTAGGATACATCCAAAATACGTTAGTCCAAATGGGTTATCCTAGTAGATTTGTCAGGAGACACATGAATGCGAAGTACAATAAAGAGAAACCGATAACAGTTAAAAAGAAACAACTGTTCATCAAACTGCAATTTAATGGGGACGTGGCTAGTGAAGTCTTACATCAGAGATTATCGAGAGCGATAAAACGGACTTATACTGCCGCCACCCTCTGTTTGTCATTTTCCAGCCGGCCAATTTTGATTGCTCAAGTGAAAGATAAGTTACCGAGTTGTGCCACTTCCATGTGTATTTATAAATTTAGTTGCTCCTGTGGAGAAAGCTATATAGGCCGAACAACTAGGCAGCTTAACAAACGCATTAATGAGCATCTTCCTTCATGGTTCGGAAAAGGTCAAATAAAGTCCATACGAAGTTCTATTTTGGCTCATTTAATTCATAGTGGTCACCAAGTGGACAAAAATAGTGCCTTCAGAGTTATTTACCGCATTCCATCGAGTCTTTCGAACGGAATCAGAACCCGACTTTTACACTTTGCTGAAGCTATGGGAATTCGAGAGAACAATCCTAGTCTTTGTATACAAAAGAAATTTGTTCTACCTTTGTCTCTCCCTTGGCCTAGGTGAATTCTATTCAAAACCCTCCCACCCTTTCTTATCATCCATCTCCTTCGTACTTTTATGATATTTATTTAAACTCTGATTATCGTTCCATTGGATTTGACCTAATTTATTTATTTATTGAATTGTCTACATATATGCATATACTAACTTTGTTATTCTTATCACCTATATAAGCCTTATTAACAATATTTTGTTATTATTATAATCATCGTTATTAACTTCGTTCAAAACATTTACCACATTATTATTACTATTATTATTATTTGTATTATTATGATTACTATTATTATTTGATACACTAAATCACCGTCATTGGTTAAAATTTTATATATGTAAGTCTATGTAAATTAGAGTAAAGCCTCAAGAAGATATAATTGAAAACAATATTGTTCGCTAATATGTCTTGTTCTAATATATAATGATACACATTATTATTATTAACACTACGGAGGGCAACGTCTAAATCTTTATCGACCTCATCCAACAGCTACATGACAATACCGCATGTCAGTTGACTAACAATGGAAAACTCAGTGATGCGTTCGAAGCAAGTACAGGACTAAGACAAGGCTGGCTGCCTATTATCACCGGTGATATTCTAATTTGTGGTGGAATGAATTATGCGTCAGACTGTGACAAGTAAGAAGATAAGAATCTGTTGGACCAACAAGGATAATCGAAAAGATATGGATTTCGCATCGCAAAGGCAAGATGCATATTCGTTAACCTGAAACCAGTTTGAAAGTCTTATGCACTCAGCATAAAGAGCGAAATTCGGATTTCCGGCACAGATGTGGAGTCAATTCTTCTATATGGGCGAAAGACGGCGCTCGCATCACGAAAAGCATTTCTAAGAAGTTACAGAATTCTATTAACAGATGCATTCACTAGCTTCATACTGAAGAACAAATGGCTGGCCAAAATGAATTAGTAACAAGCAACTATGGGGAGAAACTAACAGAGAGCCTGTCGTTTAAGATACGTGTAGGAGAAAATGAAGAAGGATTGAGCATACGCTCAGGAGACCCTCGAATGTTATTGGGCGCTAGACCATCGCTGGAGTGGAACCTCAACGGGAAATGACGAGTGAAGCGCTTGAGGTGACATGGAAGGAAGAGACGAGAGATTACGGGCAATCGTGGACACCTGTAGAGGACGGCAGAAAATAGGACAGAGCAGAGATGTGTTGTTGACGCCCTATGTTCAACTCAAAACCGAAGGGGAGTAAGAGTCTCTACACACCTAGGACTTGTGAACGCCATTCAGCATGGAGGGAAGCAATGTAAGATACGCGGATATGTACAAGATCGTTACACTTAAATCAGATTTCATGTATTGGCTTGGTTGGTGTAAACTGGGAGTTGGACTAGGTCAACAGTATGCAGTCTCTTCGTAATCTATTCTCAAGAGTTGCAGGTTAGTTTAAACCGAAGTGTGCTGTCAACATGGTTTTTATGCCAATAATGCTTCCGTAAACAAGATTTTCTTGATCACATTATCCAGGTTAACGAATAGCGAAATGCTACCGCGCGAACTTTGAAAAGGGAGTCTTGTTTAGTTTTGACTTTGTTGTGTTACACGCTGCAGAAGTCTATAGATTAACTTTAAATCAGTTTATTCTGGTCGAAGTTAGTTTACATTTCACTCTTGAGTTTATTTAATTTATGGAAGTTGTATTCTTATAACTTAGTAGTTGCATATATCCATTTTTGTGCACCCATTGGTTTCTTTTTATCACTGGATCTTAAAGGTCATGTATATATATAAAGTTATATCTGAATCCTTTTGCCTAAATTCGCTCTGAAAAGCATGCCTATCAAAAGGAACCGCTGTGGAAGGGTTATGTGCCAATTTCCAGTTGAAGAATGCAGTGTGATAAGTGTAAGAGATGGTTTCATAGAATCTACACAAACCTAACTCCTGCAACACACAAGCGCTGCTGCGAACCTCGGGCGAAGTGGCTGTTCAATGACTGCTATAGTACGACTAAGTTTCGTATAGTGGAAGCCGCTGCCACTCATTGGGGCCCTAAAGGTCATGGACTGGGTTTTCCACCACAAGAGAAAAGTGACTACTGCCCAGACACCATTGACGTAACTAGCGTCATCGACGAAACTAAGCATGTTCCTGATGCGTTTCTGTCAGGGAGTTAGTGCCCTCCAATAGGGAAGAGCACCTACCATATTCTAGACACCCAAACTGCCCTTACGATACCGGACAAGTCCTCCAGTGACAGTAATGTAAAGAGTGACACGAAGAAGAGGCATGCCAGGGGTCGAAAGCCCGCAACCCAAGTCGTCCAGAGGCTTGTAGATCAAGCCCAGTCAACACCACTGGATAGCAGACAGGTAAAATCAACTACGATTAACGAAGAGGACGCCAATGAATGGCGCAATGTAGTCTCTCACAAAGCGAGATAAAGACAGAATTTTGGCCACACTACCAACGAAGGACATAAAGATCTTTACGCCGCAGAGCAAGAAAGCCACGGCAACCAAACCTGATCTCTGACAGGTCTCTCATTCTCCACAAAGTGGAAGGATCCCCAGCCTCCAATCCTAAGGTCAGGTTCGAACATGGCCTTGACTTGGTAAAGCCCCTTTTTGATAAGCTACTGCCAAAAACAGTATCAGACATAACAATACACAGCCTATATGGAATCGGCCAAAGCCTAACCCTACAGTAAATCAGCCTGTACGCCTCAAAGTCGTACTAAACTCCAAACAAGAGAGGGATGTCGTTCTAAGCAAGTGTCAAATTCTTAAAGGATCAGGCATATATATATATATATGCCTGACATGTCCGTGTCGAAGTCTTCTAGTCAGCGACTTCAACGCCCCAACAGTTGACTGGACGAGCCTTATGACGCCATCTTCAGTCAACTCCTTTGATCATAAACTGCTGGAATCTAGTATATTGTTAGACCTAGTCAAACATGTAATTGAGCCCACGCGCTATAACTCACAGCACTCCTCCTCAACTCTGGACCTAGTGTTCTCCAACGGTGACGATGCGGATCTCATACGTCTTCTTCCTTTAATAAGAAGCGCTCACTTTCAAGTTCACAGCAACCGCATCGTTAGCCAAAACCCCAGCTCGACCAAACGTTTGGAAAGCTGATATAAGTGCGTTTGTCTCAACAACCAACTCAGTAAACTGGTACATCAACCCAGAGTCCCAAACAGAAGCCGCATGGAGCCAATTTAAACAGATTTATGCCCAAGTAACCGAACCTTTCATCCCTTGATCTGTCCCACATGGTCGGAAACATTGCCCCCCTTGGATAAACCGAGAGATTCGTAAATTACTCAGACGTATCGGAACCTGTTTGCCACACTTGAGACTTCTGAGACCAGAAAATTACATAACACCGCTAGAAATAAAGCTATTGCAGAAATCCGCCGATCAAGGATGAAGTTCAAAGCACATCTGGATAAAAATGCAAAGGAAAAGGAAAACAGCAGTTTGTTATCTAGAGCATAGCATGGCTTCCGAAGGAACCTCTCATGCCTGTCAAGTCTCCTCACTGCAAGAGAAAGCTGGGTCAAATCAAGGGACAACAGAAGACCCGTCGACATCTTCATAGACTTCAGCAAAGCCTTTGATAAAGTACCTCACAAGAAGTTGAAAAGTCTTGGTACCAAAGGCAGATTACTAAACTGGCCCAGAGAATTCCCCATAGATAGGAGGCAGAGGGTTAGGATCAACTCGAAACTCTCCTCCTGGACAGCAGTACGTAGCGGAGTGCCACAAGCCATGGTACTCGGACCTCTCCTATTTATTTTGTATATCGATGAGTTATCTCTACTCACCGATCCCCTATGGTCCTATGCTCAGATGACTTGAAAATTTAGACAGAGCTGAAGGGCAACAGTGATACGCTCACGTTGCAAAAGGACCCCAACAAATTGTCAGAGTGGTCCATAGAATGGATGCTCCCGATAAATGTGGCGAGATGTGCAACCATGCGCATTGGACAATGAAGTATCAGTTCCTACGAACTAGAGGGAATAACTCTCCCATCAGTCCAAACTCATTTAGATTTGGGTATCATAGTAAGTCACGATTTAAAAACTACAGCACACCGTCGTGCGGTGGCTGCTGGTAGTTTCAGATTCTTATGGGCAATTCGCAGAGCTTTTACTAGAATCAGCAGAGATATGTTCACTTCCTTTCATACATCTCTGGTGAGGTCAAGACTGGAGAACTGTATCCAGAGAGGCGGTCCTTGTCTTAAAAGGGGACTCATATATTCTAGAAAGAGTCCAGAGGAAGGCGACACGTATGATTCTCGGCATGACTAGCTTATCATACGAGGAAAGACTGGATGGTTTAAATCTCTTCTCCCTTTCATACCATAGGCAGAGAGGGGATTTAATCACAATGTTTAAAATCTTAAATAATGACTACGGACTTGACCTATTCTGTCTTTTCCTTCCCACCAGTTCGGAACACCTTATAGGACATAGCAGGAGAGTTCAAAAGTCATGAAGAAATCATATTTTCGTTGAGTGCTGGCTCTCACACCGAGTCTTAAACTCTTGGGACCGACTCCCAGAAGAAGTGGTGTCTGCAGTCTCAACTGATTCATTCAAGAAGGGTTTGGACAACTACAGAAATTTACTAGAAAAGGATTAACATAGGCTCCAAGCTTTCTATACCTAACCAATAAATCTGAGATCTATTAGTGCGTTCCTTTCACATCTGTGTTCTTCAACTCTGCCTTAACTTATAAGTTGCATCTGGATCTCTAGATCCTTTATGTAGTGATGAGAACAGCAGCCAGTGAGAGTCAAATTTCACTCTGTTAGGTTTCTTAATTCACCTTAATTTGGCTCAACAAAACTCATCTAGCCTGATCATAGAAAATATAAGTTACTACCAATATACCCCTACCCAGTCGATGAATTCTTTCGAAGACAGAAAAAATGGTAGAAACGAAGAAAGTATGGTATTGAAGGTGGATAAATAGGGGTAAGTGGAATGTGAAAATCCTAGGAAACATGGGAAAAGTGGATGTTTCCATGTTACATTATACCCGCTTTTCCCATGCGCATCCCTCGGCTGCGTAAGTACGGTGCAGTAAAAAGCATAATTTTGGCTATTTCAAAATATCTCACTGATAGCTTGTCTTGTATAAATGTAAAAGTTGCCGAGTTGTTATTGCACATAATCAACACATCTACTTCAGTGTTGTTGAAGTGGAAGTTTACGGTGAAATTCCCAACTTGAAAAGCATAAGATGTTTATTTATATATAATTGTGTTATTTGTTTCTACATTCATTCTCGTTTTATTTCTGTTTTCCGTTACAGCGCTCTGCGATGTAAATATCTGCTCGTTACTAATGATATGCTTGTAGGGAAAACTCAATGAAACTATTACAAGTCCAAGTTTTTTTCCGTCATGGTGCGAGAACACCTTTGTTCCATGTGAAGTCCACTGTTGTTCCCGAGGTATATATTGTCATAATCTTGTATTTATTATGTCTAGGCTATGTGGACTTCAGATATATCCACTGACTTACCACATACCGTTTACCCCTATCGTCTCGTTGATATTTCCACACAAAAGCAAGTCCAACTTACTCCAGATTACCTAGACAGATTGTATGTCTTGCCTGTAAGATTTTGGCTTATTGTAATTTTTCTTTAGGGTGGTAATAGAGTTGGTGAGTTAACCAGAGGTGGTCAGGAAGACGCTTATAGCCTGGGAATTCGTCTCAGGAGGCAGTACATGGAAGAGCATACTTTCTTGACACAAAAGTTTCAACCATCGCAATTTTAGTAGGTCTTAAGATAAGTACTTTAGCTTTCAGTATGAGAACAACCTTTATTTCGAGAACTATTAAGTCTCTTCGTTGCCTTATCGCCGGTGTAGCTGGCAATAGTTTTGATTCTTTGAGTAGGTTTTAATTGATATCAATCTCCTCAATTCAGCTGTTCTTCCTACTTTTGAATGTGAGAAGTTGAACATGGAAATTTTGTTTCCAAATCCCAATACTTGTGAGATTATTCCGAAGTTGTTTAAAGAAGGGATCGCTGAATGCTCCAAATCAAAAGCTCATGAAGAAGTGAAGGCCACTTTACGAAGGATTTTGGGTAAGTATTACCTGTAGATATCTTTCCTTATCTGCCGTACACTGCATGCGCGTGATTAAGTGGTACTATGCAAGGTAGGCAGTTACATTGGAGTCTATGTGTCGCAAGACTTTTTTCATCTTCAGAAAATACATAGATGACCCTTACCTATCACATGAATATGGCGTTGCTTCGATTTTTTAAAGTATAAATTCAGTCAGTCTACTTAAGGAACATCGAACACAGGTAATCCACAAATTCGCCAACATGACAGTCGTTCTGTATAGCATCTATCCACCCTGTATCTTCTGGTTACTGACACCTTCAAAGATGGAATTAATCAGTAAAGGTTGTCGAAACAATGTTTAAGATTTCGAATTGTCACTTAGTGATGAAGTCAGAAACTTTAATGTTATTACAGCTGACCTGAGAAACTGGATGAGGTACTATTAAGTGAATAACTCATAAGTATTTTCCTCAGGAAGTGGTTAGTCCTACTACGATAGCCCTTGCATGACCTCGAACACCTTAATTGTATGAACTAATCTAAGGCATTTCTACTTCACACCGAGGTACCACTGGGCTGTTAAGTATGTAGGGAATTACGGAAATCAGCCGATGAACGATGTAACAGAAAAGGTAACCACGAAACGTGGTGCGAGCAGTTCCCATGGTTTTTCACCTGACGTTAGTTTGTGGTTAGGGGAACTGCAAGTGATTGATCTGCGACGTTGGTTTTCAACCAGCAGACTACTTTTTCACTACCCGTCTGATTGGCTGAGGGCTGATCAGTTAGGTAATACTATCAATCCCTGCTTAGTTGATATGGCTAGCATGAATGGTCGCTAAGACACATGTCATTGGTTTTCTTCTAATAGGTTTTGTCACGCAAAATAATCCATTGTTTATTAGTAGCTAGCTTCGTTGTAAACTTCCTGCACTTCCGGCGAGAATTTGTGGCCGATTCGGACTTAAGTAATTTTACTCACGAATACCAGTAACGCTGTCTCACATTAGTTAAAGTTCATTAGTCAATCAATTCCAAATAATTGTCAATGGAATGTGATAAAAAGTGCCACATTTTAACAACTGTTCATTAGACTGACAAAATACATCGTTTTCGCTGTAATGATTTACTGTTTGCGACCTTGCATATCTATTAAACCCTAATGTTAGTCTGTGTTAGTCTGTTAGTCTGTTCTTTCTCCTTGCACATTACTGCTTATTATTATTATATTTTCCTTTACGTTCCCAGTGGGACATAGAGCTTCAAGCTAGAGGCTTGAAGTTTCGGTAGCACTGGTGTTTATTTTTACGGCATGGGGTTGCTAGCCTCATGCCCAACCTTCCCCCTTTGCCGGTCCCACTACCGGCTTAGCGAGGTAAAGGAGTGCATCGGCCAGAGATTGAACCCCGGACCACATGCGAGGTTGGCGAGCATTCTACCGCTGTGCAACCGGCGCTTATTATTATACTTCTGAATCATTCTCCCTCTCCGTTGACTACATCTGTGTGCCGCATGGAGTATGACAACTTAAACTGGTGTACTTCTGTGCAAAGTTTTGAAGCTCAATCAATCAGGTCCTACGCTTGATGGTACTTAGATTCACGGGTATAGACCAATAATGAATACCCATTTAGGACTGGTGGGATTGTTATTCATAGGCTGAAGCACATCTTTCAGTCAATGAAACGTAGATTTCAACTCATCTTCCTTTCTCTTTGAGAAATCTGATAATAATATACATCAAGTGTTGTTCATAACTTAATACCTTAAGTCGTATCGAATCGTAGAGTTGTACTGTTATTCTACTATTCTATTTAAGAGAAACAATTATCCAACCATCACAGGTTTTGTGAAGATTTAACTAGTTTTGTTAGAGCCTGACTTTGTACTTATGGTCCCTTATTTCGCATCACATTTGGTTCATTTTATCAATCAGTATTATACACTTCGACAGAGCATGGTGCATAGCACTAATGCGCAAGCCTATATGGCGTATCTAAGTCTAATTATTATTGTAGTACTAAAATAGCAGAGCTTTGCAGCTTCAAGTTCATACACGAACATAATGTACAATCTCTTCAGTTTTTTCCTTCTATATAGCCGTCCCGACCGAAAGCTGCTACCTTGACGTGGTGGTCGGGCTTGAACACCGCAATGACCTAATCAAGCTATACTGGCTGAGACTTATGTCTCTTGAGGTCCTACCATGCCAGAAAGGTTGTTTGGATAGCAGTTAAACAAAAAGCAGCTACCCGATCCAACACTATGATACATAAAAACTCACAAAATATCATGCCGGATCGGTCGGGGCCCGGATTAACAACGACCACGCTTCCTGCTGCCATGTCACAGGGCAGGAGTGATAAGTATGCTGCTGAGACACACCAAACAATAAAGAACGAACAAAAACAGCCCGCGTGTGACCGGCCTCAAGCAGTTGTCACCTGGGCTCTGCGGTCACGCAACCAACTTCCACGGTGTGGGCAGCCGGGAAGTAACAATCGCCCTGACAATCCGAAATGCACACGAAACGTCTCTAATCCTCACTCATCTTTGTCTTCATCTTTATCTCTATTATCTTGCCTTCCTTCCACTGATGCAACTCCTCTACTTGGTGGCTCTTCACTCCCTCTTCACTCTGTGTCCACTAAAAGCGACGGAAGCCAAAAAACCACCACCCATAGTCTCCTAAAGCCACGACACCAATTTCATATTATTATTATTATTATTTATTATTATTGTATCCTTTAGTTCCTAGAGGAACATACGGCTTCAGCTGCGTGTCTCCATTGCGTTTGGTTCTCTGACAAAGTTTTCACCTGGCTCCAAGTCTACCCACATGCTTTCATCTCCCCTTCACATGACCTCCTCCAAGTCACCCTTGGACGACCAACTCGCCGCCTCCCTTTCGGGTTCCACTCGAGGGCTTGTCTAGTGATGTCACTTGATGGTTTCCTCAGCGTATGGCCAATCCATCTCCATTTCTTTCTGCCTATTTGTTTCACAATCGGTTCCTGATTGGTTGGTTCCCCAGAGATCCCTGTTGCTGATCTTTTCTGGCCATCTGATCTTGAGTATTGAGCGGAGACAGTTGTTAATGAAGGTTTGAAGTTTGTTTGAGATGCTCTTTATGACTCGCCAAGTCTCTGATCCGTATAGTAGCACTGACTTCACATTGGAGTTGAAAATCCGGATCTTATTTTTGATGCTGAGTGCTGTTGACCTCCACACAGATTTGAGAGTAATGAAAGCTTGTCTTGCTTTTCCGATTCTGGCTTTGATGTCCTCGTCAGTTCCGCCTGTAGTTGAGACGATGCTTCCCAGGTAGGTGAAGGAGGTTGTTTCTTTCAGGTTCTTCCCATTTATGCTTATTGTTGTTGTTGCTGTTGATGTTGGCCAGGAATCTTCATCATCTCTGTTTTATCTATGTTCACGTGAAGTCCTATCTTTGATGCTTCTTCTGCCAACTTGTTACTTTTCACTTGCATATCTTCCAGTTTATGGGAAATCAGACATATATCATCGGCGAAATCCAGATCCTCCAAGTCTTTTGTGTCAGTCCATTTTATGCCTGTTCCCTCGTTGGTTGCCGTTGTCTGTCGCATTATCCAATCAATTGCAATCAGGAAGATCATTGGTGATAGTAGACAGCCTTGCCTCACTCCCGTCCTCACTTCGAAGGCTTCCGTAAGTTTCCCGTTGTGGATTACTTGGCATGCAGCATTGTCGTATAACTGTTGGATGAGATGTATAATTGTCGATGGGACCCCGTAGTAGCGAAGTAGTTTCCAAATGACCTCTCGATCGACGCTGTCGAAGGCCTTTTCAAAGTCGATGAAGTTGAGATAGAGAGGTGACTGCCATTCCAAGCTTTGTTCAATGATGATCCGTAGAGTGGCGATTTGATCAATACATGATTTGTTTCTCCTGAATCCAGCCTGTTCCGGACGAAGTTTTTCATCTAGGGCTTGTTTGATTCTCTCCAGGATGATGCGACTTAGTATCTTGCTTGGAATGGACAGAAGCATAATTCCACGCCAGTTTTTACATTGACTTAAGTCTCCTTTCTTTGGAAGTTTGAATAAGTATCCGTTCTTCCAATCCTCGGGTACTTTGCCCTCTTTCCACACCTTCTCCAGTAGTGGTGTCATCAAGTCCGCTGTTGTCTCTGGGTCTATTTTCAAAGCCTCTGCTGGGATTCCATCTGGTCCCGGTGTTTTCCCAGCTTTTAGCATCTTGATTGCATTCAGGACTTCTGATTTCGTCGGGGGGTCAGTGTTCACTGGTAGTTCTGCTTCCGTTGTTGGTATTGCTGGACGTGTTGTAGGTGGCGGACGATTTAGAAGTCTTTTGAAGTGTTCAACCCAGTGCTTTCTCTGTTCCACCTCTTTGGTGATTGACTTTCCATTGTCGTCCTTTATTGGCTTAATCTGTGTCGAACGTTTGCCCGAAAGGTTCCTAGTTGTTTGGTAGAGTGTGGCGAGGTCTCCTTTGCCTGCAGCTTGTTCTGCTTCGTTTGCCATGGTTTCATAATATTTTCTTTTGTCTTCCCTGGCACTCTTCTTCACTCTTTTGTTCAGTGTATTGTAGCTTGCATTCAGCTCCTGTTTTTGTTGCTCGTCAGTGCACTGGATAATCTTTTGCTTCACTGTCCTTCTCTCTTCTATTAGTTTCCAAGTGTCCGTAGTGAGCCACTGTTTGTCCTGTCTCTTTTTTCTGCCTAGAATTTCTATGCAGGTTTGGCTCCACACCGTTTTCAAGTTGTTCCAGTGCTTTTCGACGCTGACCTTTTCGCTGGTGTTGATTTGTGTCTCGGCTTTGTCCTTTATGCTTGCAATGAAGATGTCCTTTGTAGCCTGGTCCTTCAGCTTTTGAGTGTTGAACTTGGCTTGTGGTCTATCTGCAGCTCCTGATTCCCTGAAAGCTTTTAATTTGATTTGGATTGTCCCTTGTACGAGATAGTGGTCTGAGCCAACGTCTGCTCCTCTTCTTGCTTTTGTGTCCAGTAGGCTGC